TTGCTAAAACACTAAATCCCATTCTGTGAACCAAATTCTCAATAGCCTAAACCACTTTGTCAAATAAATCACTCTCTCTGCAAAACCTTAAACAGGTTCAGGCAGTTTAGACACTGTTTGCAGATCCCATGCACTCTTTTTGTAAAACTCTAAACACATTCTCACTAAAACGCGGTTTTCATCGTGATAAACGTGATGCAGAACCCTAAACACAAGAAAGCAAAAGTTAAGCACAACTGCAACACGGTTGTCATCGTTTAAACACAATCATTCAAAACTGTTCACACTTGTTTCTATATATGTGAATGTACAAAATATAAGCCAGTTCAAAGTGCACATATGGCATGGGTGCATCCATCAATGTGAGAGGTACAGAAGAGTGCGTATACAAGGTGGAGGAAGAGGAGGACGAGGAAGAGCAAGAACAGTCATTTCAGATGAAATCAGAGCTACTGTGATAGACCATGTTCTTGTGCACAGAATGACAGAGGCAGGACAAAGAGTTCAACCTAACTTGAGCAGATTGTCTGTGGCCACCATAATCAGTTGGAAAGTTCAAAAGAACAGCAAAAGAAGAGTGGAAGAGAATCTTGTGTAGAATCAAATAAAGTAAACAAATTTTATTTAAAATTGTAAAAATGCAGTTTCCTGTAAGGGGTAGGTTTAGGGGTAGGGTTGGTGTAGGGCAATAGAAAATACAGTTTGTACAGTATAAAAACCATTACGCCTATGGAATGTCCCCATAAACAGTAAAAAACAACGTGTGTGTGCGTGTGCGTGCGTCTGACTCGTTTGGCACAATTTTCCAAACCATTCATACAGTTCCTGAAACAAAGACACGTTTCTCAAAACTTTTAACACATTTCACCTGTTTTCACACACGCTCCAATTTGCTCAGTGTTTTCTGCAAAACTCTACACAAGAACGGCATCATTTTGCACAGGTTTAACAATGTTCTCATTTAGAAATCACAATATAACTACCTCAAGAATCACAATATAAACTCAAACAGCACACATTAATCCATGTGTGAACATTCAGTAGCAAAACTGAAGACACAGCAGTCAGAATCTCAGGATGATATGAACAAGAGCACAGC